GCAGTGCTCTTGATGCTGAGCATACGAAACTGCAAGTATCGACTAAGGGCATCCTGAGACGACAACAAAGGGCTTTTGAGGCCACTGAGTTCTGAGAATATAGAACTGGCGGTTTTATATGGAATGGAGGGGAAAGGGGTCCTTGCCCTCGTCAGAAATTATTCTTTTGGCCATGTATCAAACACTGAGAAATCAGGGGTGGGGAGAGACAAAGACTTTCTATGGAGTTGCCTGATATTGTCCATCATTGGAAATCGAGGACAATCTTAAGCAGAATAAAAGAGCAAGAGTCCAGTAGCACCTTAAAAGGCTAACAAAACGTGTGGCGGAGGATGATCTTTCGTGAGTCACGGCTCCCTTCTCCAGATACACCTAGAATGGGAGTCCATCTGTCCTATTTATTGGGAAGTGGAGTGATTCCAGATGTCAAATGGCATTAGCAGGTGAATGACACTAGCAGGTGAATGACAATAGCATGTGTGATTGGATTTAGGTGAGATATGCAGACAAACTTTGCTTTGTTTCCTAGCCCCATCCAGCTACAGGATAATAGGCGCGGATAAATCAGCATTGATAATGAGACAGGAAACCTAAGTCTCAATTCAGTCCAGGAGGATGCATTGCCTTGAGCTTCGTTATCAGTTGCAATTCAGCAGACTCTCTTTCTAATCTCCCTTTGAAATTCCTTCATTTTCTGCGGTGGTGAAATTCCCCGCATTGACGTTTTTAAAACTGTGCATTATGTGAAATTTTCCACAGTAGATTTTTCCATATCAGATGCAGACCAGACGTTTTCTTCTTTTGACCCCATGTTTTCAGAATTTCTAGTTATGATGAGTTCCAAAAACACGGGGTTTCCAGCCCCCCCCCCCGGTGGGAGCGGGGGAAGCCCTGCTTTCTCAGGCAGTTGCTCACCACCAGCCAGATGGCTGTTGGGGCAATCCTGCCCCCCAACTGATGTTTTCAGTTCTACTTCGGTTTTGGGCCTATTTCCGGTTTCAGGCCTACTTCTGGTTGGGGGTGACACTCTGGTTTTGTGGCAAAACTCTATGGTTTGAAGCCAAATTTACCATAGAGTTTTGCCCAAAAACCAGAGTGCCACCCCCTACCAGAAGTAGTGCTGAAACCAGAAGTAGGCCTGAAAATGCCCAACATCACTTCCAGTCTCCTGGAAGGACATCGGAAGACCCCTGCCGGCCAGGTAAGTTGACCTGGCAACCCTACAATTTCAGTTTGAATTAAGGACTGTGGGTCAGTGGATGTGGTACATGCAGAAGGCCCCAGGTTCAGTTTCCAGCATCTTCAGTTGAAAGGACCAGGTGGTAGATGATGTGAATGATCTCAACCAGGGAGCTGCCAGTCAGAGTAGACAAGACTAACATTACTACACCAATGGCATGACTCAGCATAAGGTAACTTCATTTTTGTCAATGTTTTCCCGAATTGCCTCCTGAAAGCTCATAGTCAAGGCTTCATATAACTGTGGGGAAGCCCATGTGAGCTCTGGAACTTTGGGGAGGGGAGTTGGTATTTTATTTTTATTTATTTATTTATTTATTTGATTTTTATCCCGCCCTCCCGCCGAAGCTCCAGGAAGTTTCCAAACCTGTAGCTTTGCAAAGCCTTTCTAATATGGTCTAGTTCCCCCCCTCAGCTTCTGTTCCCCCCCCCAAATCTCTTACAAAAGGCTAAGACAGAACTTTCAGCTGCTGCCGTCATAGCTGGTTTGCATGCAGTTGTCCTTCTTCCCCCACCCCCCAGTTACTTTCTCACCTAGTGGTAGCAAAACCATGAAATACTAATTCAAGGCATGGTGTCCTGTGATGCTTCCAAGAGCCGATATTGCTCCTCTGATCTGAAAGAAGAGAAATCATGTCGGATCCTCTGATCATTGTTGTTTTACACTTCAGGACAGTGATGCTATCTGACCCAGGCAGCTCTAGAGGGTTTCTTTCATTTCCTTTTTTTCCTTTTTGTTCTTTCTGCATGAAGCAAAACACCAGCTCTTAAGTGTCAATTTTGCTAAGTGGACCACTTTGATATACTTGAGAGTGAACTTCCAGTGGATTGCTTTGAAATGCTGATGGAGGACGAGGCATTTCAAAGGATGGAAACGTAACCTTATATTAGCTAAAAATGCAGACACTGGAGTGAAGGAAGGGGAAGAGAATAAGGTTCCGCCATGCCAATTTCTAGCTTTGAGAGCATTGATATTTTTAGCCTTCTACAAGTGGAAGCAGCAGGAAATTATCCTTTCTCTTTTCCATCAGGCAGTCCCATTGGCTTAGAGGGAGAGGAAGGTTGATGGGAACTGGTGAGTGGTGTAAACTCTCAATGATTGCAGAGGAGCAAAATCAGAATACACCTAAAGGAGACCACTGCTGAACTTTTTACTGTCCAAAAAAACAGGGGGGAAACTAGCGTCACAGAGGTCCAAGATATACAAATTCCGCTAGGAGAAACACCATCAGAAATTGCCAAAATATAAACTGTATTTAACAAATATAAAGTTGGTGATGTCACAACAACAAAATGTAATGCACACTATAACTCTAATAAGGCATAAGATGCAATGTTTCCTCCTTAGAAAATAAGTCATAAAGTCCATGTAATCAGTGACACTTGATTGGAGGAGTCCACATAGTCATAACATTTTCCAAACAGCCTTTGCAAAAACGCCCGTTCTAGATACTTAAAAGATGCGTTTCCTTCAACTTCTTCAGTTTGCCGGCTGTGTAGGTGGAACTTGATTTCAATAATTTCAGCAGACCACAAGGTTCATAGTGTAAAGGTTTAGGATGGATTCTTATGGGGGATATTTATGGAACCTCGCTGATTTTGCATGTGTGGATCCAAGCCCCCTTATCATTAACCATAAGAACATAAGAAGAGCCCTGCCATATCAAGTTACTACACTTGATCTTAGCCAAAAGTCCAAGAAGCGATGCTAGATCAAGTCAGTGATCTATCTAGTCCAGCATCCTGTCTCACACAGCGGGCAACCAGTTCCTCTGGAGGGTCAACAACAGGGCATAGAGGCTGAGACCTTCCCCTGGTGTTGCCTCCTGGCTCTGGGATTCAGAGGACTAGTGCCTCTGAATGTGGACATTCCTCTCAGTTGCCATGGCTAGTAGCCACTGATAGACCTATCCTCCATGAATCTATCTAATCCCCCTTTAAAGCTGTCTATTCCTGTGGCCATCACTACATCCTCTGGCAGTGAATTCCACATTTTAATCACTCTCTGCATAAAGAAGTATTTCCTTTTGTTCTGAATCTACTGCCCATCAGCTTCATTTGATGTCCTCAAGTTCTAGTATTTTGGGAGAGGAAGGGGGGGGGGAGTTCTCTTGGTCAACTCTTTCCACCCCATGCATAAGTTTATCAACCTCTGTCATGTCCCTGCTTAGTCTTCTCTTTTCTAAACTAAAAAGTCCCAGACTCTTTGGCCTTTCTTCATAGGAAAGAGGTTCCAGCTGTGATGGATTCACATGTACATACCCTGTTTCCCCGAAAATAAGACAGTGTCTTACATTAATTTTTGCTCCCAAAGATGCGCTAGGTCTTATTTTCAGGGGATGTCTTATTTTTCCATGAAGAAGAATACGGTACACTCCGTCAGGGCAGAGTGAGCAGCAGGCGGCAACTTGTCCTGGCGGCGGCGCGGGCTCTCTGATTAAAAGAGACCTCGCACTTCCTGTCTGCTCTGGCTGCGCGGCGGCCAACAGTGAGCTGTGTGGTGGCGCCCGCCGCTACAGCCCAGAGTCCAGAGTTACGGTAGCTTCGGGGGAGGCCTTATTATCGGGGAGGTCTTATTTTTGGGGAGGTCTTATTTTCGGGGGGATGCCTTATATTTCAGCGAGAGGCAAAACTGTAAGTAGGTCTTATTTTCGGGGGATGTCTTACTTTCGGGAAAACACGGTATTTTGTCTTGAAGCCATTGATGACTCCACTTATGTTTGGGCTTTCAAGACCTTGGGGTCAGGAGCTGGAAACGTACAAATTGAAGCTCAAGCCTCTGAGAACACCAGACAGAGCATAACGCTGCTCTGACCAGGCAAGGACTCAATTCAATAATCATAGTACATGTGTGCCAAGACTGGCTTATCTAGAGTGATCTTATCACTTATCTTATCACTTATCACCCCTCACGTTGCAAACCTTAGTTCTGCAGCGGAAGCAGTGACTAAAGCGTGTACTGCCCACATAGCTCGATGCATGAAGGGCCAGGATTCTCAGGGTTTCAAGTTAATTGGCCTGCTCTGGTGTTGCATTCCATTTAGGTCTGCAGGTCTATTTGCTCGGATGTTTTTTTGTATGCCAAAGGGCATTCACAGGCGGAATCTAATTGCAGCTCATTCTCCTACTAGTGTAGTAGACTAGGCTGTAGAAGACGAGTTCTTTCCAGCGCCAGAGAGGAGGGCAAGAATGCCACTTCTGAGAAAGTGCTTACCAACCACTGTTTCTGTAAAGCCTTAAAGAGAAAAAGAAAGAAACGAGCCATTTTTAATTACCACTCAATCAATCGGTGACATTGCTATAATCAATTAAAAGGTTTTTGATTTATTCCTCTAACGGATTGATTAACAGAACACCCTTAAAGTAGTTTCCCCTCCCTTTTATTTATTTATTTTTTTCTTAGAGATCTTCTTTCGTAGAGCTTGGTATGTTTTAGGGGCTTTACGGAAAAAAGGGTGGGACCTGGAAATTGGGGGGGGGGGTAACCTGGAAATTTGAAGTGAAACTTTAAATTAAAACAGCGCATCCCTCAAAGAGTGTTACACTCGATGGATCCACATCTGTGGGTGGTCCCCGGCTTGAAGGAGGTTCACTTAGCCTTGACCAGAGCCAGGGCCTTCCAAGCCCTGCAGGATCCTGGTGGAATACTCTCCCAGATGAGATCTGGGCCCTGCAGGACTTATTACAGTTTCACAGGGCCTGTAAAGTGGAGATGTTCCGCCAGGCCTATTGTGCTGAGTCAGCCGGTCACCACGGATACCATGCACTGGAAACTGGATACGCAGTCCAAAATCAAGTCGAGCAACAGAGCCAAAGGTCAGAAAGCCGGGAACACAGTCAAAGGTTGCAGGAGCAAAGAGCGGAGGCTAACAGCCAGGATCAGGTCCGAACACACACAGTTGCTTCCACGCTGAGGCAGGTGCATGGTGGTGTTTAGGACCAGGTCCTCCCTTCCCTGGGAGTCAGTCTGCTAAGACTCACAGCCCCTCATGTTGCCTTTGCAAGAGCTGCAGTCTGGCACTCTTCCTTTGCTCTTGCACATTCAGCCACTGTTGTGCCCTGCGTCTGGGACACTCAGGAGAACTAGGTGGGGATTCTGGGCTTGGGGAGTCTCCACCTGGGGGTGCTGGGCCAGGCTCTGGATCAGTCTCTCCCTCTGGTTGCACATCCTGTGCAGCTGCTGGGGCCTCTTCTCCCTCAGGTGCTGTTAAGGGTTCCTCTTCTGGGCTGACTCCAGAGGAGGCTGGGTCACTCCATGCCTCTTCCTCACCCAAGGAGTAGTCAGCCTCTGCAGAGCCAGTACCCACGGCACCTATGGTTGAGGTGGCGGAGCTCTACCGATATTGGCCTTCCCAACGTGTTTCCAGCACCTCATTTTATATGATATCTTCTCATCCGCCTACCTCCGGCAACACTGGTTTACCATCTGTTATGCCCATACATGGAGCGGCCTCAGAAAAATAGCTGTATCGGTCCCACAAATGAAATAAAGTGATTTTATAATTGGATTTTAATAATTTGTTATTGCTGGTTTTTAATTGGCATGTATTATATTTGTATTATATTGTTATAATGTGGTTGTGTATTGTTGTAACCTGTCTTGTGCCTTGCTATGCAGGGGAGGGAGGGCTAGAAATTTAATAAAATAAATAAACTATTGGTTTTGTGAATTTGCCTGTGTTGTGTATGTACTGTAGATTTTATGCATGGTTTCTGTGGTACTTGTTAAGTCACTCGCTTAACAAAGCAGTCGGAGAGTGATTCAGCAAGAACACGACTTTATTCTTCCACTCGAACACAACTCCAACACGGATCAACATCTGATAGCCAGAACAGCTTTTACATTGCAGCTGTCCTGCTTTTAAACATTCCCGGCTAATATAGCCACACCCACTGTACACATATCAACCTATGAGGTTGCCGAGATAATGTCCAATCACATTCGTTCCCGCTCAGGGAGCTTGCTTGAAGTGATTGGCTTGTTAGTTCCTGGGCTAGCAATTCTATTGGATGTATTTGGAGCCTTAGCCCAGGACGAAGCTCAACATTACATTTCAATTAGATGTTCCACACATTGCATTCAAGGCAGCTTTGAATACATTACAGTACTGATGTGTGCAATGTAGGTCATTGATATGTGTGTTTCTGTGTAAACTATTTATCAACATGCATATAATAATAGAAAATCTGTTCAATTTTATGTGGAAAATTCAGTGTATAGAAACAGAAAATGGTGCAAAAATGAAGAATCTACAACTTTGATTAGCACAACAGAAATCAAAATGGGGATTTTTCTGGTCAAAACAGGAGGGGTTAGAAATTTAAGAACCACTCAATTTTATGATACAGTGTTAAGAATTATATAACCCAAATATTATGCATGGCTGCTTAAGAAATACAATTGCATTTTCTGTGTCAAAGAGTAAGCCGTGGATGGTACCCGGGAAATTAAAATCTAATCTGGTTTTCTAGCTGCTATGAATATTCAAAATAATGAATACCGTTCCCTTGTTGAAAGCTGACAAACGGGGCTGATAATGTTGTATCTCTCTCTCTCTTTTCTATCTTTCCTTCCTTTTTTTTTTTTTTGATGATGGGAAAAACTCATTAGAAATGTGATGTTATTAGCAGTTTTCCTTGAATTGCAAATTTCTATCACACTACAACTAGTATTGTGGTAATGATGAAATTAAATTAAATTAGCATATCATATACCATACAGCAAGAGTGTTAATGCATTATAGTAATACAAGGCAACAGATAATTGCCAGCTTAATAAGGATTTGTCCTCCAAAAAGATCATCCGGCTTGTGTCTTTTCCCTGTGAGCTTTGGGGGAGTGGGGACAGGGGGAATGTTACTCATATTGATTAGTTTTGCAAAGCAATCACAGGTTATGCTAAAGTAAATGAAAACGTTGCCTTGATTCTAGACAAATCGATATGGCCATCTTGGCTTTGGCTATTGACATTTCAGTGGTTCAGTCAATTGTAAAGCATAGAAAGGTGTAGAGGGTGTAGAAAGGAGGGGCTGTGGCTCAGTGGCAGAGCCTCTGCTTGTGGCAAATAGCCACTGATGGACCTCTGCTCCTTATGTTTATTAATAAAAAATTAATTGGTGAAAACATTAGGTGCCACAATGGAATTTCTGGGTGCCATGGTGACTTGGTGCCTGGAATTTGTCGAGCCCTGGACTATAGGGTTGTCAAATTTGGACTGGGAAATTGTTGGCTCTTGGGGGGAAGGGGTGCCTGTGGAGGGAGAATTTGTGGTGGGATTTCACCTACAATCCAAAGCCACTATTTTCTCCAAAGGAACTGATCTCCATCATCTGGAGATCAGTTGTAAATCCAGGGGCGCTTTAGGCCAACCTCCAAATGCAGGGGGGAAACAAGAAAAAAGCAATGGCAACAGAAGCCCAGCAGAACATAATCAAAATCCCAGAGAATCTCTGCAGTAGAAACTGAAGGTGGGGGACAGTTTTGCAAGCCCTTGCTGAACCAGTGCAATGTGCCCAGAAAAAACAGTGCTACTGTGGCATTGCAAACCCAAAAGGACTAAGGTCAAGCCAGAGAATCTCTGTTATAGAAACTGAAGGTGGTGCAGTACAATGTACAGTCTGCAGTATTAACAGAGCAATTAAAGACTGCCCAGCATAATCCAGTGCCAAGCAAGGGTATGTGTGTGCAAACCCAGCAGAACCTGTGCAATGCACTAATGCCCAGCAGAACCCAGGGCCATTTGGCCAGCCAGTTCAACAGGATCAATGTGAAATACAGAATCACAATCCAAGCAAGGGGAGTTGCAAGCCCAGCACAACCAATTCAGTATATGCTGGGTCCCCCAGCAGAACCCAGTGCCACTGGCATTGCAAGATTAAAAGGACTGATCTCAAAGCACAGAGTCTCAAATCCAAGCTAGGGGGAGTGTGGGATTTTGCAAGCTCTTTGCAAGAAAATGAAAAGGGAACACAGAGGAACAGGGCAAAGTGGGGGACCCTCTTGAAACTGACTAGTTTGAAACTGACAACAGTGTTTCCAAAGCTGGAGAATTCCCCCTCCCCCATTGCTTTGAAGTTTGGTGGACTTTTGTTTGAGCAGAGACTGTCTGGAAATGTATCCATTCACGAAATGGCACAAACCTGCTCAAACTGATTGAAAGTTTGTGGAAAGTTCACGAACCGGCTAAAATTTGTCACAAACTTTCATTTGTGAGCCAGTTCATGCCCATCTCTACTCGGTATCCTTACCTGCAGCAATCAGGAATGGTGCTGGCCAATAAGAGACATTGCCGCATATGGTACCTTTCCAATGTTGCTTGTGGAAATTAATTTTGTCTTTAGAATCACATGAATGTTTCATATATTTTCACCATTATACAATTATGTTCGTGTTCACTGAGATCTGCTTTCTCTCTCTCTCTCTTTTTCTTCTTGCAGTTCCACCATGGTTTCTAAATCACCCTTCGAATCTCTATGCCTATGAGAGTATGGACATTGAGTTTGACTGTGCTGTCTCTGGTAAACCAGTCCCTACTGTGCAATGGATCAAGAATGGAGAAGTTGTCATTCCTAGTGATTATTTTCAAATAGTGGTAATTATTTTTATAGCATTCCTCAAGAAAGCAGTTAACAAAAATAACCTGTATAATGCAATTGTCATCGTCTAATTGTGTAATTTGACTTTTCAATGAGACCAATGTAGGGTATATTGCCAGTTTGTGAGGAATATTAATCAAGCCTCTCTCTCTTGGGGTCGCTTCCCCAACATGTCTGCTCAAGGACCCTTTGATAAGTTTCTGGAGTTCACCGAGCTCCTTTACACACTTTAGATCAGCATATCCCTTTTCTGGTGCCTGCCACATGTTTTTACAAGGTGGAGAGGCAAATTAAATTTAAAAAATGACCTCAGAAATTGCTTCAGCAGCAGCTGCCACAAAAAAAAGCACAAAGCTGTGTGTATACAAGAAAACATTTCGAAACAGTATGTTCATTTAAAACCATTTGTTCCCTTTAAGCAGAGCTTAACGTTTTCAAACAATATGTTCTCGTTAAGCAGAGCTTCTGCCAGAAATTGTGAAGAGTTACTGTTGGCGTACTGACATTTTGCAGGTGGTTCCGCCCCTTTCGGCAGCCATTTTGTGGTTGCACCCACTGCCCCATGTGAGACTTCCAAAGGCACCTGGCAGGCTCAAAAAGGCCACAGGTCAAAAAGACCTCTGCTTTAGATCAGCTTTGGTTGTAACTAGAACAACCCTCTAAACTGTTGGGGTTGGGCACTGGAGTTTTTTTGGGTACCTATATTCACCTGATATGAGGTACAGGGCTTGTTGTTATGGTTTATCATGCCATCTACTGTTGTATTGGTTTCAATGTTTTCATGGTTTCATGGGACAAAGGGGCAAAGTTTTCATGGTTTCATAGGAGCTAGTTTGGTGTAGTGGTTAAGGACAAAGTTTTCATGGTTTCATAGGAGCCAGTTTGGTGTAGTGGTTAAGTGTGTGGATTCTAATCTGGGAGGACCAGGTTTGATTCCCCACTCCTCCACTTGCACCTGGCTGGATGATCTTGGGCAAGCCATAGTTCTGACAAGAGCTGTTCTTGAAAAAGAGCAGTTTCTGTCAAGAGCTCTTTCAGCCCCACCTACCTCACAGGGTGTCTGTTGTGGGGAGGGGGAGGGAAAGGAGTTTGTAAGCCGCTCTGAGACTCCGAGTGGATGGGGGGGTATAAATCCAATCTCCTCCTCCTCCTCTCCTCCTTCTCCTTCTCCTCCTCCTCCTTCTTCTCGATCCCCACTTTGCCCATCCAGTCCAACAAGCTGCCCTAATAATAATACTAACCTGGAGTGAGAAGCTCAACCAGCTTTAACCTCAACCTCTGCAAACAGATTTTTTTTTTAATGCAGTGAACAAAGTATTTTGAAAGAGCAATTCGTGGAGAACGTTAGGTGGCAGCTACTAACCTGAAGTGATCGATTCAACTCTATGCCTACCTGATGCTTAAGAACTATTATCCCCTATTAATGACTTTGATGCGCGGGGCTCAGAGCATCATACGTTTCGATAAGCCTGCTGATGGGCTGACCCTTTCCTAATTGATGCTTTTTCTATTAAGTGAAATTGACAATTATCTAAATTAAACATGTTTTAGTTAATAAAGGACTAGGGCTTTTTCTCCTCTTCTTCTTGGAGAAGACAATTGACTTGCCGGGATGAGCTTCCAAGTTCATGCGACTTTATCTGCCATTGCTGTTTATAATAAAGACAATCAGACAGTAATAACTTCCCATGCCAAGAAATTGGGGGGGAGGATCATTAAGTAATTGGGGAAAGGGCAGATTATCCATTCGAGATCTTCTGTTGAAGAAATGCTTTGATAAGGGAATAATTCTTAGCAGAGCATTTTTTGTGCCTGCCAAGAGCTCTCCCGTAGAAGGCAGGCTTTTACGGTGTCATTTAATTCTGCCTGCCAGCACTACCTCCCGATGAAATCCTACTCAAATGCAGCAGCTATGAAATGGCTTTTGTGTGTATGTGTGTATGGCTCTCTAGGTCTTCTTGCGTATGGAAGGAGGTTGACCTTCGAAGCCTCTTTCCTGCTTCGAAGTATTAAAAGGAAGCTCATGGAATCGGCTGCCAATGCAAATGCTTCCTGTAGGCACCGCAGACCCCTTTTAGTGTAGAACCGAAGGGTTCCGTAAAGCTGTTTCAGCTGTCCCTCTCTGCGGCATGTTTTTACCGTGCACCCAGTCCTTCTCGCAGAGCGAACACACACAGAGTCAGCATCTCCTTTTAACGAATGCGCATTTCATTACAATCCTCCGGGGCCCAAGACTGATATGAGAGGGCTCCTGCACACTTTAACTTACCTGGTGTGGCTTCCGTGGGCAGAGTTTTGCTGGAAAGTGGACACTTTGATAGAATCCTGATTTGATGGTCTTCTCGAGTAATTCCCATGAGACGCCATCTTGGACTTTTTAAACTCTGTTCGTTTTTGTTTTGTTTTTACTTTTTGTTGTAATTCCGTTTGTGATTAGAATTTTAACATTGGTTTGTGGCCGTATGCCTTCTGTTGCAGAATGTCCAGAGCCCTGCCTAGCAAGGATAGGGTGATTAATAAATCAAGATGATGAGGATGAGGATGATAAGGATGAGGGTGGTGGTGGTGGTGATGGTGAGAGCTGCTAAAGTGCCCCAAGAAACACATTAATTAAAACATTAAAGTTTCATGTGCCCCAAAAGAACATGATCATAGGGGGTGGGTGCCTGCCACAACTCTGCATGACTCACAGTTCTGGCTTTCCAGTCGGCTTCTGCTGGGAGGAGTGTTCTAGACTTCTTGTTGCATGTGGATGAGTCTGGCTCCTTTGGTTGCTCTTGATGTGGATGGAACTGTGACCTATCCTTCGAGTCGCCACACCCAGAATAGGAGGGGCTGGTTCCAGGTTTTGAAGGGCCCTGGACAGAGAGTTTTCAGAGGCTTCCCTCCCCTCCTCTGCCCAACCCCCCAGAACCCCCCCCTGCCCCTCCCCTCCTCCCCTTACCATGTACCAGTTTGGTGTAGTGGTTAAGTGCGTGGACTCTAATCTGGAAGAACCGGGTTTGATCCCCCACTCCTCCACTTGCACCTTGGGCAAGCCATAGTTCTGGCACAGCTGTTTTTGGAAAAGAGCAGTTTCTGTCAGAGCTCCCTCAGCCCCACCTACCTCACAGGCAGTGTTCCCTCTAAGCTGAGTTGGTGTGAGCTAGCTCACAGTTTTTTAGCCTCTGGCTCACACATTTTTGTCTTAGCTCAGGAAGGAGGGCTCCAGAGCAAACTAATTTATGCAGTAACCAAATCACCTGCTCACAACTTTAATGCCAGTAGCTCACAAAGTAGAATTTTTGCTCAAAGGACTCCACAACTTAGAGGGAACATTGCTCACAGGGTGTCTGTTGTGGGGAGGGGAGGGGAAAGGAGTTTGTAAGCTGCTCTGAGACACCATTGGGTAGTGAAGGGCAGGATATAAATCCAATCTCCTCCTCCTCTTCCTCCTCCTCTTCTTCTTCTTCCTCCTCCTCCTCCTCTTCTTCTTCCTCCTCCTCCTCCTCTACTACTGCTACTTCTTTTTCTTCTTCTTCCTGCACCTGCCTGTTCTTCCCTTGCCTGCTCAAGAGCCCTCCCACTGCCCACACCCACAGCCAGCTAAAAAGCCTTCCTTCAACAGCACTTCTTCAGCTGTGGCCAGGAGTGCCATTGCTGTGACCATTGGGAGCATAAGAACATCAGAGAAGCCGATATTGGATCAGGCCAATGGCCCATCCAGTCCAACACTCTGTCACACAGTGGCCAAAAATACCAGGTGCCCTCAAGAGCTCAAGCAGTGGGGCCAGGACACCCAAAACCCTCCCACTGTTTCCCCCTCCCCAAGCATCTCATGCACCACCTGCACACTCTTCCCTGGTGGTCTGGGCAGCCCAGATAGCCAGGTGCACAGGAGGGAGGAGCACTTGCGAGTGGGCAGGCAGGAGATGCTGTGCACCAGGGCCAGCATCTGCATACCCTTCAGTGGGGCGTCTGCTGGCGTGCCTAATTCTCCGTGTGACCGCAGCCAGTGTCTGTCAAGCAACACAGGGAACAGGCAGTCTTACTCACTCTAAACACCAGTCTTAGAGGGATATAATTAACACATAGAATTCACTGCAGCAGGAAGGGGATTGGAGAAACATATGGCACAGAGGCCAATCAGTGGCTATTAGCCACAAGGTCTTGATGGAAGACTCTGTCTGGGGCAGCGATGCTCTGCATTCTCGGTGCTGGGGGGGGGCAACAGTGGGAGGGTTTCTTGAGTTCTGGCCCTGCTTGTGGACCTCCTGATGGCACCTAGGTTTGGCCACTGTGTGACACAGAGAGCTGGACTGGATGGGCCATTGGCCTGATCCAATATGGCTTCTCTTGTGTTCTTAAGAGTAGAGATTCATGAGTGGTTATTAGCCATAAGGTCTTGATGGAACACTCTGTCTGGGGCACTGATGCTCTGCATTCTTGGTGTTTGGGGGGGGCAAGAGTGGGACGGCTTCTGGAGTTCCAGCTCCACTGGTGGACCTCCAGATGGCAACTGGGATTTGGCCACTGTATGACACAGAGTGTTGGACTGTATGGGCCATTGTCCTCATCCAACATGGCTTCTCTTATGATGCAAAAATGAAGTTCGGGGACACTCATACACACACAAAAAACAGCAACTCTGATTTGGCTATGTGGAATGTGGGTCACTAGGGAACTCTTCTGGCTTCTGACTCTTTCTCTTTCTCCCCATCTAGGGTGGCAGCAACCTGCGGATCCTGGGCTTGGTAAAGTCAGATGAAGGTTTCTATCAGTGTGTCGCCGAAAACGATGCTGGGAATGCACAAACCAGCGCACAGCTAATCATCCCCGAGCCCGGTAAGGTGCAAAAGGACGCTCAGGATTTCTTGTTCTAATTAATATGATTAGCGGAGCCATGAACCACGTGACCCAGGCCAGCCTCCGACCTTTTGCTTTCATTCCTGGCATGGCGTGGGTTAGTTTATAGCCAGGCTGGCAGGTAATCGCTCATCACTGGCTGTCATCTGTTTCCACTGGGGGAGAAACACCCTCTGCTGCGTCCTTGAAAGTGACTAAGGTGGCTTCATTAGGGATGCGGAGCACATTGACAGGAATCATCACACCTCCTAACCTCACCGAAAGGAGACAGGTTCCAGCACTGCCTCTGTATCGTATCCCGCATTGCTCATTGTGGATTGTGATCTTTTTTTTTTTTTTTTGCTGATCTCTGAGTTGAAGTGATGTTGTTACTTCAGGGTAGAGTGACACAGGCCCTGTCGTCATCAGCGGCCGGTGCCCTTTGATAGGCAAGTGGCACAAAAGAAAGGACTGGAGTGAAAGGTTTTTGCATCACCTTGGGAAATGGAATGTAAAGAAGGAGCTCGTAAGGAATTATAAATAAAGTCCTTTGCTGGGTGAGGGGAAGGCAAGGGGAGGCTCCTTCTAGGGCATTCCCCGGCTCGTCCGCCTCGGTGGGCAGGCCAGGGGGGGGGGCTCAGCAGGCCTTCCCTGGCTTGCCTGCTTTGGCAGGCAGGCCGGGGAAGCCACAGGGAGGCATTTAAATGCCTCCCCGCACCCTCCTGGGCTGGCCCACCTGCCTCGGCGGGCAGGCCAGGGAAGGTAGGGGGGCTCACTCCAGGCCTTCCCCGACTCGCCAGCTTTGGTGGGAGGGCCAGGGAAGGCGGGGGGGCTAGCCTGGGGGGCAGTGGCCTCCATTCACTGAAGGGAAGGCAAATTGCCTTCCCTTCAATGAAGGGAGTGTGCTGCCTCTGCAGTGTGACTGGGGGGGGGGGTTAAACTTTAAAACTCAAGTCGTGCCGCAGAGGCGGCATGCTCCCTTCATTGAAGGAATCCCTTCAGTGATAGGAAACCCCCCTTCGGGGTGGGGTTATTATACCCTATGAGGACAGTCCCCGTAGGGTATAACTGAGCCAAATGTGATTCGGCTGGCTGAATGCCACCCCAATCAGCTTGCATTGCTGAAAGTGGCAGTCGGGGGACATTCGGCTGGCTGAATCACATTCAGCCCGATTCGCCTGAATCCGAATGGGCTGATTTTATTTTATTTAGCTTTATTTTATTTTATTTGCACATCCCTTGTCACCAGTGACACTTTGGGCAATTCTGCATTGTTTTTTCCCTCCATTGTTTTACCAAACCCATGTTGGAACAGAAATTCCCATCTGCATTTTGTGCGGCTTTCACTTTCTTTGATCATCGGGTTTTATGGTACCTTCTGCATAGATTTATGGCCATTTGGGGGTGACTTCGCAGTCAGTGTGGCATTGGCCTGGGGTATTTGAATGTGGTTTTGAGCTGCACCTTTTCCTCCATGTTGAGACAATTGGAGCGAATGTCATATTCAGAATTGCCCACTGTTACACTTCAGAATTTTTTCTAGCTTGGAAAGTGCATTGAAAATTTATTGAAAGTGGATTATTTAGTGTGTGTAATCGCAGCCTCTATCTCCTTCTGATTTCTTGGTTGCAGTATCTATGCAGGAGTCCTTCCTCTCCCTGTGGCCACATTCTGAGCCCATCTGGGATCTTTTTTATTTATTTTTTAAAACTTTTCCCACAGCTGCTGTGTGGGCTACGTGGAACCTGAGTTGTATCTGGGTACACCTGGATCCAATTCTTGACAAATACAAAGTGTTATTTGGCCCCATGTTTAGATGGTGTTGTTGTTGTTCAGTCGCACAGTCGAGTCTGACTCTTCGCAACCCCATGGACCACATCACGCCAGGCCCTCCTGTCTTCCGCCGTGCTCTGGAGTTTGCTTAATTTCATGTTCATTGCCTCGATAACACTGTCTAACCATCTCATCCTTTGCCATCCCCTTCTTCTTTGACCTTCAGTCTTTCCCAGCATCGGGGTCTTCTCCAGTGAGTGTTCCTTTCTCATTGGGTGGCCAAAGTATTTGAGCTTCAGTATCTGGCCTTCCAGGGAACAGTCAGGGTTGATTTCTTTTAGGATGGACTGATTCGATCTCCTTGAAGTCCAGGGGACACTCAAGATGATGTATTTGTCTATAAATGAATTGTTAATTATTATTATTATTATTTATTGATTTTTGAAATTGCCATTGGCACCACACACAGTTAATTCCTTTGTGTTCACATATATATACTGTGTGTTTCACTATTATATTGAGTCTCCAGATGGGGGCTGGAGATCTCCTGGGGTTACAACTGATCTCCAGGTGACAGCGATCAGTTCCCCTGGAGAAAATAGCCACTTTGGAAGGGGGGCTCTATGGCACTGTACCCTGCTGGGGTCCCCCCTCCTCAAACCCTGCCCTCCTCAGCCTCCACCGCCCAAATGGCCAGCCATTTCCCAACCCAGAACTGGCAACCTTATGAGTTGCTTTGAAGAAGGATGGGACAAAAAATGGATAGATGAATGGAGATGGGGCAGCATGATGGTAGGCAGGGATGGGAAGCCAGTTTGGTGTAGTGGTTAAGTGCACGGACTCTGATCTGGGAGAACCAGGTTTGATTCCCCACTCCTCCACTTGCAGCTGCTGGATGACCTTGAGCAAGCCATAGTTCTGTTAGAGCTGTTCTCTCAAGGGCAGTTCTGGAAAGAGCTCTCTCAGCCCCACCTACCTCACAGGGTGTCTGTTGCAGGGAAGGGAAGGGAAAAGGAGTTTGTAAGCCGCTCTGAGACTCCGAGTGAATGGCGGGGGATAAATCTAGTCTCTCCTCTCTCTCCTTCCTCTTCTTCAAAGGCAAAAGGATAGGGAGACATGGGATTTCCCCTCCCCTGCAAATCCTTGCAGGTCCTACATGTTCTGCCTGCAACCTGCGGCCAAAGGGATCATTTCCCTTTTTTTAATGACACGATAGAGCTTCACAAAATGCTGCACAGGATAAAGAAGGCAGAAAAAGAGAAAGAAGCCCCTTTCTCCCTTTCCCACAATACGAGAATCTGTGGGCACTCAGTGAAATTAATGATCAGTAGGCTTAGAACAGATAAAAGGAAGCACTTCTTCACCCAGAGAGTGATTAACACATGACATTCACTGCTGCTGGAAGCATAGACAGCTTCAAGAGGGGCTTGGATAAACATCTGGAGCAGAGGTCCATCACTGGCTATTAGCCACCAGGTATAGGTGGAACACTCTGTCTGGGGCAATGATGCTCTGTATTCTTGTTGCTTCGGGGGGCAACTGTGGGAGGGCTTCTGGATTTCTGGCCCCACTGCTGGACCTCCTGATGGCACCTGGTATTTTGGGCCACTGTGTGCCCGATCCAACATTGACTTCTCTTATGTCCTTACGTTCCCACTTACGAAGTGGGATTGCTCCCTCTTTCATCTCTCTATGAGCAGTTTGAAGCCCCCAAAAAAAGAAAAGAAAAGAAACCAATTATCTTATTCAGCTCCGGCTCTTTCCGTTGCCAGCTTGGAGGAAAGGGGGTGGGTGCTGTCTTTTGCTTGTCATGTCTTTGAATTCATCACTGGGAACCGCCTCAAGGAACCTGTATCGTTCATTACAGTCTCCACCTCGACGTTTGAGCACTGAGCAAATCCCACTCTTTGGGTCTGCTTTTTTGTTTCATTACGTTTGGCACGAGGCTGGAAGGGAAGCAGGCACAAATGAAGACGAAAATCCTGAAGAGCTACAGGGACACCGTTGTAAACTGTCTCGTTTCCCTCCCCTCCCTCGCCCCACCCCGCTTATAAATGATGGATGGCTTTTCCCTGGCTATTTAATCAGATCTTCAAACAATGCCACTCCGATTCCTCGGAGAGGCTGAGAGCGGAGGCCTGCACAGATGGCAGGGGAGCCCGGTATAAATACAAATTAAACGCTGGGCTTGACCACAGTGGGGGGGGGCACAGCCCTTCTGTGTTTCGAACTCGGTCAATAAATGGGCACCGTCTATTTCTCACGCAGTGTGAGCCCAGCACTCCCACAGATGTTCCGTTTGAGCCTGTCCACAGGCCACAGACAGGGAGTTACCCCTAGCAACTAAGACAGCCAGCGTCTTGCAGCGATGCAGACAATGACCTATTAAAGCCACCATGTGCTGTCGGGTGGATATTTACGGGAGCCTAATGAACTCCCAGCATAGTCTTCCGAGTGGTGGGCAGCCTGTCGTTTTGCAATGATTACGGCCGATGAAAGGGTGGGAGGAGAAAACGGAAAGGACTGCTTGAGGGAGAGGGCGCATCAGGTAGATGGGAAAGGGTCATGGTAACAGAAGCGATGATCACCTTGCCCCATGCTGAGGGAACGGTCAAAGAACCACTTGCTGTTGGATTTGAGGCTGTGCTTGTGTCCTAATTCCACAGAAGCTCAAAGGAGATAATGTGGCCTGGGGTACAGAATTAAGCATCCCGAGAACCTGAATTTTTAAAAGAGGTTTGTAGTCCTTATTGCTGTAGAGCTACGTGTGAAAGTGAGCGGACAACAACCGCTGGAAATAAGCTTGCCAGAATATTGTTAGCCAGGGCATGGAAAGAAGAAGAGACACCTACGGAAAAAAGATGTAATAGATAAAATGTTGTCAGTAGCGGAAGTGAATAGATTAAGTTTAATAATACAAGGTAATAGCAAAGAAATAATTTGAAAAACGATGGAAAATGTTTTATGTATGGCTAGACAATGTAAATAAATATGACTCACAAGAATAAGAAATGTAAACCGATGATATGATGTATACTGAAAATCATAAATAAACAAGGGGGGGGGGAGAAATAAGCTTACCAGTCTCCTGGTCACAAGGGAATAGTAATCTGTGTGAAAAAGATGCTAACACTAGTTCAATAATAACCAAATTTGATGCAAATACAAGAATATAAACACATATAAGCACAATCAAGTCACAGTAATCATGGAAGGACGTGTGATGT